TATGTTCTGGGGTCATGAGGGGAGGGGAGGCCGGGTGTCCCGCCCCCTGATGGGATGTGATTTCCACAGGCAAGCTGCAGACCATATTTGGGAAATTTGCTTTTCTTGCTGACAGTTTGGGCATGGGGACCTTGAGGCCTGGTAGGTTGTTGGGTAGTCCCTGCCCTTGCCTGCTCCTTTTCTGGCCTCCAGACCCATTATAGCTGCTGCCTCTGCCTCATCCTACCTTGAAACCTAGGAGGTTGTCCACTGCTTTCTTTTTTAGACTATTTATTTTTTCCAACCCCAAAGCAAGAAATACTCATTAAATAAAAGTTGAAAAATTCTGCAAAACAGGAAGGGAAAGTCTTCTCCATTGTCTTGAACATTACCAATGGTATTCTGATCCTCTGCCCATTTTCAGATTCCCAGTGGTGTTTTATTGAGGCATAATTCATGCTTCAGTGTATTTTTAATTCTGTTGTGATACTGACAGGGCTCTGGGACCTCTGCTTTCAGTAGTGTTACCTTGACACATAGATGAATAAGTAGGCCCTGAACAGCCGGGCGTGGTAGCACTTTGGAGGCTGAGGCAGGAGGATGGGTTAGAGTTGAAGGCTAGCCTGGGCTACAAAGTGAATTCAAGGCCAGCCTGAGCTGTATAGTGAGACCCTGCCTCAAAAAAACCAGAAAGAGTGAGTGAGTGCGAGAGACAGACAGAAAGGAAGGAAGGAAGGAAGAGAAGGAAGGAAAGGAAGGAAGGAAAGAAAAGAAAGAAAGAAAGAAAGAAAGAAAGAAAGAAAGAAAGAAAGAAAGAAAGAAAGAAAAGGAAAGGAAAAGAAAGGAAAGGGTAGAGAAGTGAAAAGAGAAGAGAAAGAGAAGAGAAAAGAAAAGAAAAGAAAGAGACAGACACTGGCACTTTCTGGGGCTGGAGGCTCTGAGCTGCTCTGGTGAAAGAGCTCCTAACCAGTTACTTCTGGAGTAAGGAGTGGCTGGCCTGGGCCCTGGAGCATCGCGCCTGCCCGGGTGTCCCTAGCATCCTGTTGCCCTCTTCTGTATGCTTAGTGTGTCGGGCCAGGGAAAGAGCTCAGGGGGCACTTTGCAGCCCCAGCTGCTGGTGTGGAGGAAGAGAGCATGCCCTGACTTGGAGGGGCCGCTTCCAGCCCTCTGCCCGGGTCCTCAGCTCCTGTTGGAGCTGGCTCTGGCTCTTGTTGGGAGCTGGCCCTTCCTGCCTCCTGAAATCCCAACTCCTGCCTGACTCCAGAGCACCTTCCTGGCCCCTGTGGGAAAGGTCACACAGCTGATGAGTGACTGGAGCTCAGGTCCTGTTTCCAAGTCAGGCTGTAGACCTAGCTGTGCATTTTCAGCCCCAGGACACTCAGGAGCGCTCCTGGGGACAGCCTAGAGCTGAGGCCAGGCTGGGAAGGACTCCAAAGGGAGCCTTCTGGCCTCCCAGAGTGCCCTGCCCAGTGGTGTCTGTGGGGCCCGGCTGAATGTGGTCAGTTCTCTTCTGTCCTAGGTTAGCCACAGAAGCCCTGGCCTTGTCCTGCCCAGATTCCTCCCTCCCTCCTGCTGTCTGTGTTGTGTGAGCTCAACCTGAGCCTGGCACCCAGGCAGAGGGGACAGTGGCAGTAGGACCACATATATGGTGCTGGAAGACATTGGAGCCCCTCCCGCCCCCCAGTACTGGGGATTGAACCCAGTACCTGCTGTGTGCTAGACATACACTATAGTGCTGAGCTGTGTCACCATTTGCTAGCACTTCGTTGTTGTTGTTTGTTTTTTTGCTTTGTTTTTGAGACAGGATCTTACTCTGTAGTTCGGGCTTGTCTTAAACTCACTGTGTAGCCCAGGCTGGCCTCGAATTCATGGCAATCCTCCTACCTCAGGCTCCTGAGTGCTGGAATTATAGGCATGCACCACCATACCCTGGCTCTGTATTTATTTTTTTAAGACAGGGCCTCACTAAGTTACCCAGAATGACCTCGGACTTGCAGTCCTCCTGTCCCTACCTCCCAAGTAGCAGTGATTACAAGCACGTGCCACTAAACTCAGCCCCACTGAACTCGGTGTCCCCAATCCTGTCCACTTCCTGTCTGTTGGTGCTGTGGTTCTCCTGCCTCCTGCCTTGGGTCCCACAGCCCTTCTAAGCCACTGGGCAGACTGCTTATTCCTGGGCTACGTGGACTATGTGTCCCCACTCCAGGGGCATCTGCCAACTGTGACAGGACCATAGCAGTGCCCACTTGGGAGTGGCTGTAAGACTGAAGAGCTCTGGTTCTGAGGGAGGTGCTCTTCCTTGGCCATCTTGTTCGTACAAGACCCTTTTTAGTTTTACTTCATCTTTTGTGTATAATTCGGATGCTTGTCTTACCCTCTTTCACCTTCCCAGAAGCACCCACATTAGCTAATGTAATGTGTCTGGGTCTGTCCCTAGGTCATTGTCTTTGACACATAGCATTTTCTTGTAGATTTGTATAGCATTACGAGAAGGGTGCTGGGCTGTTGCTCTGTTTCTTGTTCCAAGAAGTAAGAACCAGGCGGCCCAATGCAGTAAGGGGCCAGCACCCTGGCACCAGGTGCTACTAAAGCCAGTGAGGTCTGTGAATGCTCCTGTGGGCACTCCCCAGGGTGCAACTGCCCTGAATACTAGGACACCTGATGGCCATTCCACACCTGATGGAGTACTAGGACCTGATGGTCCTTGGAGGGGACCTGAGCTGTGTCTCTGCTGGCTGTAGTTCTGGTCATCCTTTTCCCCTCGGGAGCACACCATGTTCTTTGGGGTTTTCTGCTAATGTTTGTGTTGATTGCAGGAGTTCCTCCAAATTCATGATTGTTGACTCTTTAATTCCTGGTGGAGCTAGATCTTTTGTGTTTAGGTTGGTTTTGTTTGTTTGTTTGTTTTTACTGTTTTCTTTTTTTGTACCAGAAATTGAACTCACGCTCGCATTTAGGTTTTCGATTGCCTGTTTTTATTGTGTGCTAAGTGTACATATGGAGCCTTCCTCATACAGTGAGGGAGCTTCTGGGTACTGCGAGGGAGCGTCTGGGTACTGCCTGCAGTGTGGTCTTCATCTTTCTCCATTGCTTTGTGGTCCTGCAGAAGCTCTTCAGGGAGCTGTGGCACAGCCTGCTGGCTGAGAAAGGGGCACCTTGGGCCTTTGATTTTCAGAACTGACCAGCTTACTCATGATGATATTTTTCCTTTGTTCAGATTCCTGAAAAAAGGGCTGGGAATATAGCTCAGTGGCACAGAGCCTGCCTGGCAAGCACAAGGTCGTGAGTTCGATTCCTGGTACCAAAAAAAAAAAACAAAAACCAAACCAAAACAAACAAGCAAAAAAACCCCCCAAAGATTCCTGAAAAAAGAAAAAGAAAAACCAAAAAACCTGGCTGGCATTTTTATTATAATGAATTTACCCTGTTATCATTGGGAGAGTTTACATTTCAAGACCCTCAGTGGATGTCTGAAGTCTTGAGAAGTATTGGACCCTATACATACTACAGGTTTTCTCCTGTGTAGATATACAGTAATAAAATCAATCATAATATTATAAAAGTTATATGATGTGGTCTCTCAAAGTATCTTGTACTTTCACCTCTTCATTAAAAGAAAACACTTTGCAGCTTCTGTTTGGCGAATCTGAGTCGCCAGTGCCGCTCCGCTTGTGCTCTGGGGCCGTTCTGAACACAAGTGCTGCTGCACGGTGGCAGTGGGCCCGATGGCCATGATGACGGCTCAGTGACTGGCTGGCGAGGGGTGCGCAGAGCAAGGTTGCACTGGACAGAGTGTGGTCACACCTCCGGCCAGGTTGCTGTGGAATGGTGCGAGGTTTCATCAGGCTCCTCAGGCCAGTGCACAATGTAAAGCTGATGAATTATTTCTGGAATTTTCCATTCAGTGATTTTTGGACTGTGGTTGACCATGGGTAACTAACTGAAACCACAGAAAGTGAAACCACGGGTAAGGGCGACTACTGTACTAGGAAAGCTTACAGTATTTGTCTTCCCACCATGAACCTGTACATTTCCGCCCCCCTTATTCAAGTTCTTCTAATGTGTTGACAGAACTTAAACATTTTCTCCTTCATGGTCTTATGCAGTTGATACTTGATGAGTTCCTGGCCAACATCTAGCCTTGTTATTATGTGATGTCTTTGCTGTGATGTTCTCATCGATTATTGGTTCTTCTGGACGTTACATAGATGCTCTGAGGTCTGCAGATGACCAGTCTGTCCCAGTGCAGTGTCTGCACACCTCCCTGCCCGACTTTGTCACTTTTACCTCTTGACTGATTGCGCTGAGCGGGCAACAGGGCACTTGGCTTGGGGCTGGAGCAGGGAGCGACCATCCTGTTTTCTTCTCAGCCTGAAGGGAAGATGTTTGAAGTTTTCCATTAACTACTGGTTTGGGAGGAGATAGACTTAGGGATATTTTCTGTGTTTTTGATCTAGAGAACTTTTTTCTGTCAGATTGTTTGAATCTCCTCAGATAACCGTTCATTTCCCTTACAGCGTATTGTTACTGCTGTTCGCACTGGTGCAGGCAGTCGGTTGAGCACGGCAGGGGTTTTGAAGAGCTTTTTGAGAGCCATCCCTATGTTCATGTTTGCTGCTATGGTCAAAAGGGTTTTGCGGGACCCCTCCCAGTTGAAAGACAACCTGGAGCCAGGCGTGGTGGTGCACACCTGTAATCCCAGCACTCCGGAGGCTGAGGCAGGAGGATCGTTGCGAGTTCGAGACCAGCCTGCGCTACAAAGTGAGCTCACGGCTGACCTGAACTGCACAGCGAGACCCTGTCTCCAAAAAAAAGAAGTCACCTGGGCCTTTCTGCTGGGGTACTGGTGGGGCAGTGGGGGCAAAAGCCCTGCTGTCTTACCAGAGTTCTCTGAGTCCTTTTCCAGAGCCAGAGCCAGAGCCAGAGCCAGGTGCCTTCCTGACCCCAGAGGGGTGGGACTTGGGCGCCGAGCCCTGAGTGCATCGTCCTGCCCTCACCCCTCCTGTGTCCTCTCTCCTTAGAATGTGCTGGCCAAAGCGCTCTATGACAACGTGGCGGAGTCCCCAGATGAGCTCTCCTTCCGCAAGGGTGACATCATGACCGTGCTGGAGCGGGACACACAGGGCCTGGATGGCTGGTGGCTCTGCTCACTGCATGGGCGCCAGGGCATCGTGCCTGGGAACCGCCTCAAGATCCTGGTGGGCATGTACGACAAGAAGCCAGCAGGGCCGGGCCCTGGCCCGCCTGCCACCGCAGCCCAGCCGCAGCCCCAGCCCCAGCCCAGCCTCGCACCAGGCCTGCACGCCACCGCGCCCCCGGCCTCCCAGTACTCGCCTATGCTCCCTGCTGCATACCAGCCCCCGCCCGACAGTGTCTACCTGGTACCCACTCCTAACAAGGCTCAGCAAGGCCTCTACCAGGCCCCAGGGTCCAGCCCACAGTTCCAGTCTCCCCCAGCCAAGCAGACGTCCACGTTCTCAAAGCAGACGCCCCATCACCCGTTTCCCAGCCCAGCCACAGACCTTTACCAGGTGCCTCCCGGACCTGGAAGTCCAGCCCAGGACATCTACCAAGTGCCGCCTTCTGCTGGCATAGGGCATGACATCTACCAGGTCCCCCCATCCATGGACACGCGCAGCTGGGAGGGGACAAAGCCACCAGCAAAGGTAAGTCCACCTGGCACAGCTGTGCAGCCCTGTGGGCCTAGCACCCCAGGGTCCCCGCCCATCCAACAGCACCGGTTACACATTTGGGCTGAGGTTAAGATGGGAGGCGTCTGGGGACTGTTCATTCATCTGGTGTGGGTGGGTGCAGATGAGGAGACACTGAGCCGGTCTTGGAGGTGAGGAGGCCGTCAACTGGCTACCCTGAGGGGTGGGTGCAGGCACAGGGTGTGCCTGAGTGGATGGATGCAGGCGTACCCTGTGCCACCCAGCAGGAGAATTGTCTTGTGTTGCTGGTGAGCAGGCAGGGCTTGGCAGGGGAAGCCAGAGTAAGGGCTGGAGACAGACTCGGGAGGGGCCCGGTGCTCACTGGAGAGATGGACGCCATCCTCACAGTACAGGGTGCACATCTGGGTAAAGCTGTGGGCAAGCAGAGTGTATGGCAGAGAACAGAGGCATCCAGACTGGGGCAGGGAGCCCAGGAAAAGGAGGGTGTGAGGTAGGGGGGTTTGAAAGGGAGACTCAGATGTGGAGGGCAGTGTGTCATCAGAAGAGCATGTCAGGCACGGCACAGACATAAACCACGTCTCGCTGCAGCCATCACGTCTGTTTTCTGGCAGCAGGAGAAGGAGGAAGGCACGCAGGGGCTGCAGCGTCTCCAAAGAGCCTTCTTGGAGGTTACATATGCTCCTTCCCTCCTCCTCTTGGCCAGAACTGGAGCGGCTCTGCCTCTCTGCATGGAGGCTGGCCAGTGATTTCTTGCCAGACAGCCACAGTTTCATGTCTGGCTCAGCAACTCCTGAGGAAGAGGAAAGGACAGAGGGCTCCAGGGGGAACCCTCGACAGTTGCTGGTCCCAGTGGCCTTCTGGGCCTGCTGAGGGAGAGCACAAGTCTTCTGGTTCATGGCAACACCCAGGCACATCTGGCTGTCCCTGGTTCCACGGAGCAGCTCTTTTCTGCTTATGGGACAGCTCTTGGGGCCAGCTGTGAGTGTGGCACCCCCTGCCCAGGTCCACCTGCCCATGGTGGAAGCCACACTGAGCGGGAGACAAGGCCACCTCGATTCTTTGGGCTGAGTCAGGAGAAACTTCCACCTCCTTCAGCCCATGTCCTCCTGTGTGAGAGTCCTTCCAGAGCTGGGGAGTGGAGTTTCCCAGGGCGGAAGGCAGAGGAGGCATCCCTCGGGCTCGGAGGGTAGAACGGCCCTGCCAGCTCAGTGCGCCTCTCCGTTTCCCCTGCCTGCCCCTCTGGTACAGTTGCCCAAGTGAGTCCTGCAGCCCACCCCGGCTGCCTCGCTTGTCCCTCCTCAGGGACTCCACGCCAGGAGGGTTCCTTGGAGGCCCTGTAGGAGTGGCTGCCTAGTGGTGTGCACAATGGCTCTTTTTTTGTTTGTTTTTTGAGACAGGGTTTTGCTATGTAGTTCAGGCTGGCCTTGAGCTCACTACACAGTCCATCCTGGCCTTGAATTCCAGGGATCCTCCTGTTTCAGCCTCCAGAGTGGTAGGATTATAGGTGTGCACCACCACACCTAGCTTCCCTCCTCCCTTTTCTTCTCCTCCCCTCCCTTTCCCAGGCTCTCACTATGTAGCCTAGGCTGGCCTTGAACTTGTATTGCTCCTCCTGCCTCAGCCTTTCATGTGCTGGGATTATAGGCATAAGCCACTAAGGCTAGCTCCTACTTCTAGCCTTACCAGCTCCCTCAGCCTTCTGACTGTACAGGCAGGTAGCAGGTCTGCCCTGGGACAGGTCATGGTCCATCTCCTCCACGTGCATGCAGACCTCGCACACCGCAGGCATGAATGCACAGGCGCACACAGCCGTACACTGTCTGCACTCACATCCCTGTGGGAGGCAGGGGCAGGCGGTGGAAGACCATGGGCGAGATAGGGAGCCCCTCAGACTGCTTCAAGGGCCGGCATGGCTGGTGGCCCAGGAAGGGGAGCTCTGCATCCCTAATCTACTTGCCCTTTCCCAAGAAGCCTAAGTACTCCTGGCCTGGGCAGCCTTGATTGCATTTGCTTATATTTAATGATCATGAAAGCAGTGCTTATTTGCCAGAGAAAATGCATAGTGTGTGAAAAAGCCTAGAGATAAGAGTCCCTAATCGGGATAATCGCTGGGAGATTTCGGCATATTTTGTCAAGCATATGCTCTATTTGTGTTCCACAGAATTTGTACACATACTCTTGCATTTTAAAGTTATGTATCCAACACTAGATGCCAAAAGCATGTTTTTGATTATTAAAATTCCTTCCTAACCCTGAGTAGAATGGTTGCCCTCTTTTACTGTCTTGTGTTTCCCCTGGAGGTGGGCAGTAGATGGTCTTGCCGGTGTTTTTATTACATACATTAGGTGGTCTCTGCTGGTGTGTATCTTTGTGCCTGCATTTCAAGGTCCTGCCTCCAAACGCCTCAGGGCCTTCTTGGATACGTGGGAAACTGAGTCTCCTGGATCCAGGCTCACAGTCACTAGGTGGGTGGGACAAGGGACAAGGGACAAGGCTGGAGCCAGGAGGGCTTGGACTCCTGGAGCAGTGCCATCTGGTAGGTGTCCAGGCAGAGCAAGGCCAGGGCTGCCCTGGGGCACCAGGACCCTTTGCTGGACGTGGGCACCAGGAAGCAGGGTGACGAGGCTGTTCGTGTGCAGATGGGGCTCAGAGGGGAAGGCATCGGTGTAGGGCACTCTGGGGCTGCAGCTCTGGACCCACGCCAGGCACAGGGCAAGCTCAGGTACACTTACTTGGATTTGCCCTCCTCACCTGGGAAGCTTCGTTTCCTCCAGGCCTGTGTGCTGGGCCCTCCTTGGGCTGGAGGAGCTGGAACGGGGGGGTGGGATGTGCCTCAGCGCTGTGAGAACTTGCTCTGAGGTATGTCCTGGTCTGGGGGAGACGGGTGGCAGACTGCCTGACTCCCACAGCCCCCCACAGTGCTCTGTTCCCAGGGGCGGGAAGGAGACTCTTTGCTGGGCGTGCGCTGGGTACACCAGAGCCTGAAGCGGGCCCAAGTCAGTGTGGCCTGCTGGAGGTGGCAGGGCCCAGGACAGGGTGCATGGCACGGCAGGGAAGGGCTCTCCTTGTCCTTGATCCCACCTGACACCTGCTGCTTGGGGCCTGCCTTGGTGCCTGAAAGGCCGGTGCTGCTCTGGAGGTGTCGTTCCTACCAGGGGCTGACCAGCTAGGGCTTTCAGTTGCCCTTCCCTGGATGCGCGCCTGGGGGCAGAGTCGGGTGGGACAGCAGCTCTCTCCTGCCCTGCTGGGCTCTGTGCTTCTGCGTGTGTCCTGTGCTGTGTGAGCGGGAGGAAGTTGTATGTATGTGTGTGTGTGTGTGTATGTGTGCGTGCACCAGACCGTGGGTCTCCGCCTCCTGTCTTAGGCTTTGGCTCTGTCCCCACTCCCCTCGGGCCTCTGGGGCCTGGTAATGCGGCCTCAGGTGCAGAGCACAGTGGCCTGTGATGAGCAGGGCCCGGCAGCGCTCCGGGGAGTTCATTTCCCTAATGAGCTTTCCCTGCTGGCTTTTCCTTGCTTGGCAGCTGGCTATTTTTCTAACAGAAAACTTGGGCTGGCTGGGGTAGCTGCTTACTGTCACCCAACTCAGCCACAGGAGCGCAAAGGTGCCCCTGTCACTGGGTCTGGGGTTTGGCCTGCAGAGCTCTCTGGCCTGGGCCCCGGCCCTCATCTGAGTGAGGATGCGCGGGAGCTGACAGGCCTGTAGGGACAGGGAGGCTCCTGCTCTTCTGGGGACCCGCTGCCCAGGGCGGGTGTACCACCTGTGCCCCTTGGGGCTTTGCCCCTCCTGAGGCCTAGGATAGAAAGAAGCCTCAGGCCGTGCCTCCAGGCTCAGCCAACCTGCCACGTCCTCCCCGCTCGGCTCCCGCCTGCCCCACTGTTGGCAGGTTCCAGTGCTAAAAATAGCTCTGGAAGAGACTCAAGTCTGGGGCCTGAAGAGGGAGATGAGTCTAGGGAGGCAGCTGAGCTCCACCCCGACACTGGGGGCCCTGCAGCTCACGCAGCCTCCTGCCTGCTGCCTCAGGCAGCCCCAAAGCCCAGCTGCCCTGGTGTCAGTGCCCAGCTCCCTTGTGCTGCCCGGAGCCTCTGCCAGGCATGGGGCTGCCTGGCCTGCTCTTGCGTGGGGTCCTGGCGCATGCACACTGGAGGCTTGGACAGGGCTCTTTGGGCATCAAGCCTAAGGGAGGGTGTGTGGGGAGGGCCTGAGTCAACCCTGTCCCAGACGTCCCCTTTGATAGGGAACAAAAGGGCTTTCTGTGGAGAGCGCTGAGCAGGGAGCCCCGGGGGAGGCTGGCTGAGCCTGGCTGGAGAGCCCTGCGGGGAGGGGGCCACCTGGCCTGCCCAGCGGGGTGCTGGTCTGTGAGGGGCGCCTGTCTGGGGGAGGCTGGAGCGTCCCGGGGCCTAGGGCTGGGCTTTGCTGCTGTGGAGCCGGGGCCAGGGTCAGAGTGCCCGGGAAGGAAGGGACTGGCCTCTGACCATGGCCCCCACGGAGCTTCACCCTTTGAGGCGTGCAAGACCTCTCGAGGTGTGTGTGGGCAGGGAAGACGGGGTCTTGGCTGTAGTTGCAACTGACTTCGTGGGCTTTGAACATGACCTTCCAAACCACTCCTGTCCATCTGCCCAAGCACTGACCCTGAGCTTATTCCCAGGTCTCCCCAAGATGTGCTGGGGGGCGGCGGGGGTGCTGCTTGCTGCTTCTTGGAGACCCAGGCCCTGTCTATCAAGGTTCTCCTCAGGCCACCTCTGGGCCCAACAGGGTCCTGTGGTCAGAGAACCCCTGCTGAGCAGGCCTTCCTGAGGAGACAGCTGGGAGGTGTCTGCAGGGCCAGAACCCAAGTCAGCGGTAGGCCCTTGCCCACTAGCAGTGCTCTCTGGAGCCAGGGCTCAGCCCCTCAACCTGCCCAAGGACCTCTGCAGCCCACAGGAACTTCCGTTGCAGAACCTTCAGGCCATCAATGCTAGCCCAGAGCCCAACAGCTGTAAACAAACCCTAAGGTCTGATAGTCACAGCCTAAGTGCTGCATTTCAGCTCAAAAAGGTCAGTGAACCCAGGAGAGGAGACCAGTTCCTCTAAGTCTGCATCTCAGGGGTGCTCCCTCAGGGCCACTGGTAAAGTCGGCTGTCCACCCCCAGGTGGTGGTGCCTACCCGAGTGGGCCAGGGCTACGTGTATGAGGCCTCCCAGCTGGAGCAGGACGAGTACGACATCCCACGCCATCTGCTGGCCCCAGGGCCCCAGGACATCTATGATGTCCCCCCTGTGCGGGGGCTGCTTCCCAGCCAGTATGGCCAAGAGGTAGGTGTTGGGGGCTGGGGTGTGGGGAAGGGAGGCCGGCTCTTCCCCTAAAGCCCGGGTGGCCTCAGGCACCAGCGTGACTGCACTGTTTTTGCTGCCCTCAGGTGTACGATACCCCGCCAATGGCTGTCAAGGGTCCCAACGGCCGAGACCCGCTGCTGGACGTGTATGATGTGCCCCCCAGCGTGGAGAAGGGCCAGCCACCGTCCAGTCACCATGCGGTGAGCAGGGCATGAGTGCGCCCTCGCAGGCTTCCTGGAGTGGCCGAGTGCCTGTGGTGGGGTGGCGTGGGTGTCTGCAGGCCCCAGCTCTGCCCCTCACTCGCTCGGGGACAGGTGTGGACACTCAGCTCTCTTCTGGGCTTTCATTTGGCCATCTGGAAAATGGCCCGTTGTGGGGGCATGTTAGCAGGCCCTGAAGACAGGACCAGCAGGGTGACTGGAATTAGTGTTTAAGCCAGGACCCTGTGAATGAAAGGGGAGCCAGAAAGCACACTGTGCTGACCTGGACCACCCGTATCTAACACGGAGCTCGGCGAAGCACCTGCCCGAGCAGAGTGCCCGTGGTGCTGATGGCAGTGCGTGGTGGTGACGGTGGTGGCAGCAGCGGCAGTGTGGGGCCACCCTCCCCCTAAATGCTTGCAGTGATGTGGCTGCATGCACAGGTGTAGTCCCCCAGCAGCCTGGCGGGAGGCCTCGTCTGAGAGAGGCAGCCAGGCATGGAGAAGCGGCCTCGTCTCAGAGTCGGGCCTGCAGTCATAGTCCGTGCGACGAAGGGTCAGGACAAGCGTGGGCTGAGATCAGGGCTGGGTCTGTGTGGCTGGGTCCTGCGCCCGGATCCTGGGCTGGGCAGATGAGTGACAGCCTTGACCACTGCTTGGTCCCCAGGTGTACGATGTTCCCCCGTCGGTGAGCAAGGATGTCCCTGATGGCCCAGTGCAGCGTGAGGAGACCTACGATGTGCCCCCGGCCTTCGCCAAGGTCAAGCCCTTTGATCCGGCCCGCCACCCGCTGATCCTCACTGCGCCCCCTCCTGACTCCCCGCCAGCTGAGGATGTGTATGATGTGCCACCCCCTGCGCCGGACCTCTACGACGTGCCCCCGGGCTTGCGGCGGCCCGGCCCTGGCAGCCTATATGATGTGCCCCGGGAGCGAGCGCTTCCTCCTGAGATGGCAGACGGCACGGTGGACGATGGGGTGTACGCCGTGCCCCCTCCAGCGGAGCTTGAGGCCGCAGCCAATGGCAAGCGCCTGTCCGCCTCCAGCACAGGCAGCACGCGCAGCAGTCAGTCAGCATCCTCCCTGGAGGTGGGCGTGCCAGGCCGGGAGCCCCTGGAGCTGGAGGTTGCTGTGGAGTCCTTGGCGCGGCTGCAGCAGGGTGTGAGCGCCACTGTGGCCCACCTTTTGGAGCTGGTGGGCAGTGCTGGTGGAGCTGGGGGCTGGCGTGGCACCCCTGAGCCTCAGGAGCCGCCAGTACAGGACCTGCAGGCCGCAGTGACTGCTGTCCAAAGTGCTGTCCATGAGCTGCTGGAGTTTGCCCGCAGTGCTGTGGGCAATGCCACCCACACTTCTGACCGCACCCTGCACGCCAAGCTTAACCGGCAGCTGCAGAAGATGGAGGACGTGTACCAGACACTGCTGGCACATGGTCAGGTCCTTGACGGTGGCCGCGGGGGCCTGGGCTTCACCCTGGAAAACCTGGATCACCTGGTGGCCTGCTCGCGGGCTGTGCCCGAGGATGCCAAGCAGCTGGCCTCCTTCTTGCATGGCAATGCCTCACTGCTCTTCAGACGGACCAAGGCCCCTGCTCCCGGGTCTGAGGGGGGCGGCCCCCTGCACCCCAACCCCACTGACAAGGCCAGCAGCATCCAGTCACGGCCACTGCCCTCCCCCCCCAAGTTCACGTCGCAGGACTCTCCCGATGGGCAGTACGAGAACAGTGAGGGGGGCTGGATGGAGGACTATGACTACGTCCACCTGCAGGTGGGTGCCCACCCTGCCTGGGCCCCTGGCCTGTCCCTGCTGCTCTTGTGGGGACCCTGGTGCTCCCCCCATGCATATGCGCACAGGGCTCTTGTTAGAGCGAGTGATGGCCTTGGGTGTGGCCACTGGTGGTGGCCAGCACCGCTGTACCTTCACGTCCTGCACAGCGGATAGGGAGTGGCTCCCGAGCCCCTGCAGGGAGAGGCTTCTCCGCTGTGTGGAGGCTTAGATCCTGAAGAGTAAAAGCCCAGGCGAAAGCACTTAGAGGTGAGGGGGAGGTGGAACAGGACTGGATGGGGGGCTGGCCGAGAGGAGGCGTTGGCGAGCAGCCTGCGCGTGCCTGTGGCCTGCAGCAGCACGGAGACACCAGTACACCGGCTCCGGTGACCTGGCCGTGTGGGTCAAGGTGAAGGTTGGATTTGCTTCCTGGTATCGGGGAGGTGGGCCAGGGAGGGTGGCCGTGGCTGCAGCCACACAGATGGTGCATCCTCTGTGTGGGTACCCTCCTGTGCCCCAGCCTTCCTGGAAGGGCAGCCTGCATGGGCTGCTTTCTTGGGACACGTGCGTGCGCCCCACACCCTCCAAGCTAACCCTGTCCCTGTGGCCATCTATACCTGCCTGGGTGTGAGCCTGTGCACACGCAGCGCCATCTGGTGGTGAGTGGGCCCTTGCAGTGCTTCTGGCCCAGAAGAGACTGCTCAGCCCTGCCCTGTCTCTCCGCTCCAGGGGAAGGAAGAGTTTGAGAAGACCCAGAAGGAGCTGCTGGAGAAGGGCAACATCATGCGGCAAGGGAAGGGCCAGCTGGAGCTGCAGCAGGTGAGGCCTCAGGACTCCGCCCCACACAGTCACTGCCCGGCCCTTCGCCAGCACCATCTTGTTTGGTCCCTTACGTGTTTCGTTTTGACACAAGTGACGCCCCTGTCTCAGCCCTCCAAGTAGCTGGAGCTACAGGGGAAGGGGGTGCCACCGTGCCAGCATGTTTGGATTATTGTAAAGTTATCAGGAGAGAGGGAGGTAGCTCAGGGATAGAGTGTTTGCCTGGCATGCATGAGGCCAGGGGCTCAGTAGAGAAGGCTGAGGTAGGAGGATTGCAAATCTGAGGCTAGCCTGGGAAACTCAGTAAGAACCTTTCTCAAAACAGGACATAAAAAGGGCTGGGTGTATAACTCAGCTCTTGCCTAGGCTCTCCAGTATCCTGCCCAAATTAAATACATAAAGTTACAGTCAAGGTAGTTGTGCAGCCCTCATACTGAGCACAGAAGAGTGTACAGAAAGCACTAAAATAGACCCAGGGTGGTCGTGGTTCCCACCGTCCTCCCTGTGCCTGTCGGCGAGGAGACCCTGCGCACCGTCACACTCTGCCTGCGCCCCCCTTTCCCCGGCATTAAGCATTCTTCATGGATTCTTTCTGAAGGCCACATAATCTCTATTGTTAAGTGTTTACATTGTACCCATTTTTCCTTATTCTAAATAACTCGGCTTTGTTCATCTGCAGACATAATTTTCTTCATATTTTGAACCATTTCCTAGGGTCCAAAACGAGTGGGAGGGGTTTTTTGTATTTTAAGCTGGGACCTTGCTGTGTTGCCTGCAGTGATCTTGCACTCCTAGGCTAAAGTGATCCTCCTTTTTTTTTTTTTTCCTCCTCGAGGTTCTGGGAATTGAACTCCAGGCCTTTGCACTGAGCTACATCCCCAGCCTCCACCCCTCTTTTTTTTTTTTTTGAGACAGAGTCTCATTATGTAGCTCAGGCTGGCCTTGAACTCAAGGCAATCCTGCCCCAGCGTTGAAAGTGTGGGGATTACAGATGTGCACCACCACACCTGTTTTTTTGTTTGGGTTTTTTTTTTGAGGGTTTTATTGAATCCCTACGTTTTCCAGGCTGGGATTACAGGCATGCACTAGCATACCCTGTTGGAATCTGCATTTTTTTGGTCTTTTTTGAGACAGGGTCTCCCTATGCAGTTCAGGCTGACCTTGAGCTCACTTTGTAGCCCAGGCTGATCTCAAACTCGGCAACAGTCCTCGTGCCTCAGGCTCCTGAGTGCTGGGATTACAGGCGTGGGCCACCACGCCTGGCTGGAACCTGCATTGTTTTAAGGACTAGAAGTGTACCACATCCTTGCACTTTGCCCTTGCAGCACATGTTCATTAATCCTGTTATCCTAGCTCTAGATGGTAGGTTGTTCCCAGCTTTGCTGTTGTAGACACTGTTTCGATACGTTCCCGTCATGCCTTTGCTCTCAAGCCTTACCCTGCTCCTGCTTCTCCCACTGTGCCAGCTGAAGCAGTTCGAGCGGTTGGAGCAGGAGGTGTCTCGGCCCATAGACCACGACCTGGCCAACTGGACACCAGCTCAGCCCCTGGCACCGGGCCGGCCGGGCTCCCTGGGACCCTCGGATCGGCAGCTGCTGCTCTTCTACCTGGAGCAGTGTGAGGCCAACCTGACCACACTGACTGACGCTGTGGATGCTTTTTTCACCGCTGTGGCCACCAACCAGCCCCCCAAGATCTTCGTGGCCCACAGCAAGTTCGTCATCCTCAGTGCCCACAAGCTGGTGTTCATCGGGGACACGCTGTCGCGGCAGGCCAAGGCTGCCGACGTGCGCAGCCAGGTGACCCACTACAGCAACCTGCTGTGCGACCTCCTGCGTGGCATCGTGTCCACCACCAAGGCTGCTGCCCTGCAGTACCCATCGCCCTCTGCTGCACAGGACATGGTGGACAGGGTCAAGGAGCTGGGCCACAGCACCCAGCAGTTTCGCCGAGTCCTGGGCCAGCTGGCCGCCGCCTGAAGCTGCTAGCCACCACCTGCCGGTGTGAGAGTTAGTGCCCCACAGGCTTGGGGACAGGCAGCCTGGGCTGTCCAGGGGTCTGTACATATTTATGGCAGGGCGGGGCAGGACAGGACAGGGCCTCCTCAGAGGAGCCAGGAAAGCCAGGGAGTGACCAGGGCTCTCCTAGGAGTGCACTGTGACCCCAGGAGGGGTCAGGGCATATGACCCCCTAGTCTGCAGGGATTCCTGTCCCTGTGACAGGCCAGGCGCAGTGGTGACATGTTCCTTCTCCACACCAGGAGAAAACCTGAGACAACTATTTTTCATTATTGATTTTCCAATCACTTGACTAATAGTCAACATTTAATAAAATTTTAAAAATGGAAAACAGCTACCTGCAGAGTGCGCGGAGGGCCTGCAGCGGGGGTGAGGCCGCTGTGTCCGGGCCCTCAGGTGCAGATGGAATCTTGCCTTTGGGGGGATTTAGGAGGGAAGCGGGGAGCTCTCCAGGGAGGGGGAGAGGATCCCTCAGGAGCAACACCAGGCCCTGGAGGGAAGAGGGCTACAGCCCGAGGCCCATGAGTCTCCACATTGATGCAGCTGGCGGGGTGAGTCACGTGGTCCCTGGGGTCCTGTGGAGACTGTAGCAGCACACATGCTGCCCTCGTGCTGCTGGGGGACACCAGCCGGGAGCAGCCCCTGGAGGAGGACGAGCCCTGCCGGTCCCATGCCCGAGGTGAGGCCCCTGGTGCAGAGAAGTCCCTCTGAGACCTTGGCTGAGCTCTGTTCACGGGGAGCCGTAGGGTTGCTGGGCCCCAGGCGTCCCTTGCGCTGCAGCAGACTTGGTCTACATGTGTGAGGATGCTGGCCAGGGCAGGTAGTGTTTGTGCTTGTCCCCCAGTAGCCTATGGCCCAGGTGTGGGTGCTGCTGCCAGCCCTGGTCACGGTCGTTCCATGTGAACTCGACTGCAGTTTCTTCGAGCACAGAGGAGAGGGCTGGCACACCCGCCAGCCACTGAGCTCCACACCCATTGCAGGGCCTCAGCTCCTGCTCAGCCTCACTGCATGCGTGGAGGTGAAGATGAGCAGGGTGGTTCAAGCTTGTACTCGGGAAGCTGAGGCAGGAGGATTACACATTGGAGGCCTGCCCAGCAGTGCAGTGAAACCCCGTCTCAGAAAGGGCTGGGAGTGGAGCTCAGTGTTACAGCATCGCTGGATTCCATCTTCAGCACACAAAAAACATAGGGAAGAAACTGCTCTCAGTGTCTCCGGGTTTTCCTCTGACACAGGCAGCAGTGCAGTGACGTAAGCACACACAGGAGTAGAGGTGGAGCAGGTGCTGCTGCCGCAGTACACGATGGCTGCCAGGGTCCAGGCTCCGTCCTGGCACACCAGGGGACCGCCAGAGTCACCCTGCAGGGAGGAAGAGGACCTGACTGTAGGCCTGAAGGGGTGCCAGGGCTGAGGGTGCTGGGCCGGTGGAGGCAGGGAGGGGACAGGGATGACAAGGCTGGGCACTGGCTCTGCCCAAGCGACTGCCATCTGGGTGCCATGCAGTCCAGCTCTGCCGTCTGCTCCCGAGGACCCTGTGCAGGCGGCTTCCCCTAACCCTGGCCGTGGCCTCTCCCATGGGCTGACATGTGCTCTTGGGGCTGCGGTGCGGACTGAGCTCTGTGGGTAGCACAGCAGGGACCTGGGCAGGACCTGCCTCAGGGCGCCTGCTAGCGCCAGTGGGGTCTTCTAAGTAGGGGAGGGCAGGGGAGAGCCCTGGCTGTGTGCAGTGTGCTTGTGTCCCTCCTGGCATAACCTGGCTGTACCAGGCAGGAGGTGCCGCTGGTTCCGGCACAGGTGATCATGTGAGTCGATGGCCCTGTTGCCCCAGGACTTTTGGTAGTCGGCTGTGGACACAAGGGGCAGGGCTACCTGCTGCACCTTGTCGTGATCTCAGGCAGCTGTACCATCTTCCACGTCTCCACAACCATGGTGCAAATGGCCCTTGGACCCTCACAAGCATCTGTGGACACAGCTGCTGTCCCATCCCAGAGCAGGCAGGGGCCCCAGCTTCTCACCCAGCGGCTCAGCCCCTCCCTGCCCAGCCCTGGCGCCTAGTCCTGCTGCCACTGTGGGTGGGTGGGAAACGGCACAGTCCTTGCTTCCCAGGGGAGGGGTGAACTTTGTTTTGTCTTTTTGAGACAGTGTCTCGCTATGCAGTTCAGGCTGGCCTTGAGCTCACTTTGTAGCCCAGGCTGGCTTTGAACTCGCAAAGATCCTCCTGCCTCAGCCTCCTGAGTGCTGGGATGACAGGCGTGCGCCACCACACCTGGCTCTGACCTTCCTTCTGATAGGGACAGGAGAGCCCACCACTCAGGGTGACAAGGGCCTCTTCCCTCCCTTGGCAGGCTGCTCCTGCCAGGGAACCAGGGCCCTGTGCGTGACCAGGCCTGGACGCGGAAGAGAACCAGGCTTCGGTGCGGAGGGGACTCGGGCCGCCATCTCGGCTGCAGGACCAGGTGGGGTCACTGGCTCTGGAGCGCTGAGCCTGGAGAGACGTCCCCACTGGGGATGCCACTCAGGAGCCCATGCAGGTGGCTGGGGCTCCCCGCTCTGCCTAGAGCTCTCTTCAGGGAGAGCTCTGGTCTTTCTTTGTGTTTGGTGGATTTTTAATTCCAAGAATGTATGACTTGCGGTTCTCACATGTGCTTGGGATTTTGAGTAAAAACCAAAGTATCTTGTACCCTGAAAGAGCCCGTGTAGGGACACTCAGTAGGGACCAGGTGTTGGCCCAGCCCACTGTGGTTCCTAGCGGGCCAGGCGTGTGGGCATAGGGACGGACTGAAAGGTGGCAGGCAGTGGCCAGCCTTACACGAGGTGTCCAGGTGAACAGCTGGCTGGTCCACTGCAGGTGGTCGAAACCCAGGCAGGACCAGGGTGGGGGCTGGGCAGACCTCTGAGTAGAGAATTCAAGTGTAGGGGGCTTGGTAGCAGAAAAAGGACCAGAAGAGGGACCAGACGAAACTGCAGGTGACACGCAGTGGTGTTCAGTATTTTTCTTCATGGCCCTGGGGATCAACACCACCTTCACACTGAGCTGCATCCCCAGCCCTTTTGAAATTTTTTCTCTCAAGAGGATCTTACTGAGTCACCAGGCTGTACAGGCTGGGCTTGAATTTGCAGTCCTCCTGCGTCAGCCTCTCAGAGTGCTGGGATCACAGACAGGCGCCACCATACTTGGTGTTCGGTTTTTATATTTTCATGTTTCTCAACAGTGTGCAAAACTTCATTTTTGCCTGTGCCCCTGGGGATGAACCCGGGCCTACGCCCGTGTTAGGCTCTGCTCTGCCACTGAGCTGTGCTGCCTTGCTTTATAACCAGAAGCAGCTGTGGCTGGGTGCAGGGGCTGGATTCAGATGAGAGCAGGAGGATGCCATGGAGCTGCTCAAGGGCAAGGGGGACCGAGGAGCTCGCTGGACACTGCACACGTCTCCTTGTGGGGCTGGCACCCTGCAGTGGCTTCCTCAGCAGAGGTCAATGCTCCCGCCCCTTGCCCTGCGCTCTGGCTCACGGCTGGCGCCTCACAGGTGTCTGGGCAGCCTGCCGGGTGAGTGAGCCCAGCTTGGCCGCCCACTCTCACTTGGCCTCAGTTTCTGCATCTGCAGTGAGGGCACAGGGCTGCCCAGGTTCCCCCAGCTGCAGTCTGGGTGGCCTGAGGGTCTGAGGAGGTGGAGTGGGGTGGGGGTCTCTGCGCTGCCGCTCTGCCTGTGGCTGGGGCTCAGAGGCGGCTCTGCCCCGCATGCAGTTTCTCAGACACTTTCTGGCCGCAGCAGTTAGGGTGGGGCTCCCGCGCTGACCCCCAGGGCACCTCACCTGACCCACAGTGGGCTGGGGTGATCCTAGTCCTCACCAGCAAGGGACCCCAGAGGTGGAGGCAGAGGCTGGAGGGGCAGGGAGGAGCACAGCTCCCACTTGGGCAGCACCCCCAGCTTCCGACAGCCCAGAGTGCCCCCCACATGCCGAGGATCTCCGTCTCCCCTGTAGAGGGCCAGGAGCCTCCAGGGCCAGGAGCCAGGGACAGCATCAGTCCTGTGCCCATCACAGGGTAGATGGCAGAGACCTTGCAGCTTGGGGTGCAGGGACAGGCAGCCGCACTTCCAAGCCTCTGGCACCCAACATCTAGGGCCCTTGCCGGGAGGACGCTCATACACCCAGGCCAGCAGTCACTCTCAGGTGGCTTCGTAGAGGGGCCTGACACCCAGGGCACCTGGGCTGGGGGCTCTACCATGGACAGCTAGCTCCTCTGACCGGCTGTGCACCCCAGGGCGTGTCTGTCCCCTCTGAGCTCAGGGTCCTGGGACAGGATTCTGGGCTGTCCGGTGCCCATGGTCCTTGCTCCCACGGCCTGAGTCTGTGGCAGGAGTGGACCTGGGCACTTGGGGATGCAAATGCTTGGCTGCCCACTCCAGGGTATGTGGCAGCCAGAGCGTGGGGAGGACAGGTTATGGGGACAGACGTGGCAGGACCAGCCGAGTTGGGCACGGACTTGGAAAGTGAAGGAGCCAGGTGGCCTCCCTGCCTCGGCTTCTGGGTGCGTGGCTGAGTGGATGGACAGAACCAGGACGAGAGGGGACCAGGGCTGTCTGCTTACATCTGGCACAGCCGAAGGACGGAGCTGGAGAAGGTGCCCAGAGGGGTGTACAGGTAGTTGGCAGGTGTGAGGGGAGGCCACCAGGGGGAGCTGGGGCCCCACCATGTCTCAGGCTTGTACCTCTGGCCCTGTTCCCCTCCCTGGGAGCCCGGCCTCCCGCTCACAAGCTGCTGCCAAAAGGGTGCAGGGAACCGGGAGAGCCTCTGTGCGGCCCACTGCCTCCCAAGCGCCCACCCAGCGTGCTTGCCATCACCCGTATCTCACGGCCTTGGGCTCTGAGGGGCCGCAGCCGTGCCTGTGCTCTGCAGCAGGGCTCTCCAGTGGAATGACGGGTGGGGTGACTGCTGCCCCCAGGATGGGAACGTGGAATGTGGGGGTCAGATCATCCTAGGCCTTACCAAGTGCCCACCATTCCTTCTTGTGCCCACTTCTGCCTGAGTCCTTGCTGCCCATGCTGAGTGCACCCCAGTGACCCACACTGGCCTGAGGCAGGTGAGCCCGGTGAAGGCCAAGTTCAGGAGCACGGTGAAGCCTTAAGAGGCCCTAAACAGATGACGTGCACCTTGGGTTTACTGAGGCTTTGCGGGGATCAGGCCCAGGGGCGCAGGGTGGGTCTGTGGGGTCAGCTGGCCCCCAGGATCTGCTGCACCCAGGCAGGAAGGCAGTGATGCGGGTGTACCTGACGAGAGAGGAGGTGGAGCAAGTGTCACTGCCCCAGGACGTGATGCCCACCAGGGTCCAGGTTCTG